GAGATGTGATAGGAAAGATCCAAGGAAAACTAGATTCCCTCCTATTCTTCTGATATATGTTAATAATATATTAATTGTATTATAATAAATATGTTAATATGGTATAATAATACTATCTTACATATCATATATGTACATACATGCATATTTGTGTATATATAATATATAAAACGTGTTATTTAATATAATACATAAACTATATATTACATATAATGAACCATTGCCACTTGGTACATTTAATCTTGAGTTTTTGCTATGCTTGGATTTGCATGTGTGAATATGCAGATAGCAAGCCACCTATTTTCTCTTCCAAAATAAGGATCATCTTCTTGGTCTTCTGTTCTTTTTTACTTCCCCTGGTCTCTTCTCCTGTACACCTTTCTCTCTTGAGGCTAATGTGGTCCCCAAAGGCATTTATGTTTCTATTACATCACTTACAAGTGTTTCCTTTGGCCTACAACTTTAATATATGTAATGTTTATATATATTATATAACACATTTATATATATTTTAAACAAACTTTTGCAGATGTAGTTAAAGTTACACACCCTGAGAAGGGAAGAGTATACTGGATCATCCAGTTGGGCTCAACCTTATCACATGAGTCCTTAAAGGTGGAGAATCACTTCTTTTTCCCAGCTGGGGTCAGAGAGAGAGAGAATGAAGACAGAGCCAGGGTCGTGGAGATGTGATGTTGCTGGCTTTGGAGATGGAGGAATGTGGGCAGCCTCTAGACACTGGAAAAGGCAAGGAAATAAATTCGCCCCAGAGCCACCAGAAGGATGCAGCCAGAAGGCACACAGATATGATGCTGCCTCCCTGGTCTGCCTCTTCCACTACTAGTATGGCTAAAGGCCTGAGGAAGTCACTCAAACTCTCTGAGTCTCCTTGGCCTCAACTAAAATGGGGGTGATGCCTTGTCACGGAGGTTCAGGAGGTACAATCAGATCTCAAATCCATTGTCCCGTGCTTCTCATGCACAGGCCAGTCAGTAGGAAGTGTCAGGGCTTCTGCAAAGATAGCTAATTGAACATCACTTTATCAGACCATGTTCCTTCTCTGTTCAAAACCTCCCAGGGGCTCCTCTTCTTACTTATAGAACAACCTAAAGGCTTCCCCTGTTCTCAAGGCCTTCATGACACAATCTGACCCCACTTCCTCTCTGACTGTATCTCTTTCTGCTCTTCTCCTTGCTGACTTTGATCCAGCCATACTGGCCACCTTGCTCTTTGAGGGGGCACACCAGGCATCTACCAGCCTCAGGACATTTGCACTTGCTGTTTTCTCTGTCTAGAATCCTCTTCCTCCATATCCATATGGCTTTCACCCTCAACTGCTTCAGATCTTCACTCAAATATTACCCTCTTTATGAGGCCTTCCCTAATAGCCCAACTTAATATTGCAGGACCCCCAACCAAACACTCCTCATCCCCTTCCTCTACTTTAGTTTCCTCCACGGCATTTTATCTTTTAACATAATACATATTTTATTTATTCTGTTTACAGCAAAACACATTCCATGGGAATGTAAGCTGTATCAGGGCCCTTCATGGGAGACATAGAATAGGTACATCATAAATATTTGCTGAATAAACAAATCAGTGTGTACACAAATCTACCTGTAATCAAGAAATAAATATCAGCATTGTCTCCCATTAAGGACATCCCCTTTCACTTTCAGATGAAAAATGAAGTCAAAAGAATGGTAATCAACTTGTCATTGAACAAGGAAGCTGCAGCTAAGATCAAGCCTTTGACTGGTCTTGTTGAGCCCAACCAGCTCAAAGTAGGAGTGGAAACATGATCAAGGGCCGCAAGACCCAGCTCTTTTCTCCTGGACAGAGAGAAACCAGAGAGAGCCGGCCTTCCGATTTCCTATCCTTCCTGGTTTCAACCAGTCTCTAAAAACCATGAGAACAGTTTGTCTCAGTATTTCAGTACTTCCGCTTCCAGGCCCAGGAAAGAGCAGGAAGTGCGGGGGCGTGTGAAAATTGAGAGAAAAGAAGAATTAAACCTACTACATGTAAAGGGCTCAAAGACTTCCTCTGCAGCCTCTCACAGCACATGGGTTTTAACATGCTTTCACTGAGCCTAGGGGGACCATTCTCAGGCAGAAGACCAAAACCCAAAATGCAAGTGTTGGTACTCATTCATCCAACACAGACTTACTGCAGGACAATTTTGTGCCCAGAGGAAGACAGATATGATCCTTGTCCAAGTGAGCTTACACTTCACGGGGGTATGATTTAGAAGGATAAACTCATTTCAGGATCTGTCTTCCCAATAGCCATGCCGAGTAGGCTGAGTTTCTAAAAGGGTCCCCAAGGGGTGCCTTAGACTATGAGGAATTGTATGTAGGGTTTAAGGCAAGCTTTAGAATAAGGCCTATGAAGGCTCTAGTCTTGGCTTTGCTACACTTACTAGCTAAATGTAAACTTCCTAAAGGAAGGACTGTGTTTATTTCATTTACCACTCTATCCCCAGCACTTAGCATAGCACCCAATACTCTTAACAAATACTTGCTGCCTAAAAATATTAAACTCTCAGAGCCTCCATTTCCTCGTTTGTAAAATGGGATTACAAAACCCAATTCGTGGCTTCCCTGGTAGCGCCGTGGTTAAGAATCCGCCTGCCAATGCAGGGGACACAGGTTCGAGCCCTGGTCTGGGAAGATCCCACATGTCGCGGAGCAACTAAGCCCGTGCACCACCAACTACTGAGCCTGTGCTCTAGAGCCCGCGAGCCACAACTTCTGGGCCCGTGTGCCACAAGTACTAAAGCCCACGAGCCCTAGAGCCCGTGCTCTGCAACAAGAGAAGCCACTGCAATGAGAAGCCTGCGCACCACAATGAAGAGTAGCTCCCACTCATCACAACTAGAGAAAGCCCGTGCACAGCAAGGAAGACCCAACGCAGCCAAAAATAAATAATTTTTTTTTAAAAAAACCAAAAACCCAATTTGTGAAGTTACGTGAGGATAACATGAAACTGAGTATGGCAGTGCCTGGTATATGATAAGCATTCATGTAAATGAACTGCCGTTTGGGTGGCAAGGGTGGTGGTCTGATGGCAGAGGAGGTTTAGTTAGCTCTGGGTAAACTGTAGCACATTCCTATCCCTAAAGATTTGTTCTATCTGGAATCTTGGACTAAGCATGGGCTTGATGAGTTGGATCTCAGGGTGATCCATTTCTGTTAGAAAAGTCCTGTTCAAATTGAGCCAGAAACTCTGGAAAGGGGAAGGATGTGTTTTACATCCCAGCTACTGCGGTGGCTGGCAGCAGAACTGAAAGAGCGTGACTCAGCACAGCCCACATGGGGGGCTAAGGCCCCTCCGTCTCTGCTGTGGGACTGGAGGGGGGAGGGGTACCAGGCTTAATTGCATCTGATAAATGGATTGCAAAGAGCAAGGGCAGGCAATTGGAACATTTTCCCAGCCATTCCTCTGTTAGATTCTCAAAGCTAAAAAAAAAATGCTAAATGTCCTTTCCCTAACTACCTATCTTCACATGCAGCCCAGCTAAGTTTCCCTTGAAGTTCACTAGCCCACTTCCTTAGTAGGTCTACAGGGCCATCTACCAACCTGCAGGGGTTAAATAAAGACCGAAGGCCTTTCTAGAAGCTGAAAATCCTAGGATTCCTTCAAAGCTTTGGAGGTTCAGCTCAGAATCTCCTTGGTTACAAGGAGTGGGTCTCAGAGCTTCAAGCTGAGCCATACTTTTTGGAAAACTGTGCTCTTTCTAATACTTCTCATAAAGGTACTAATATAAATGAGATATCTTCCAGAAATAAAAGCAAATAGCCTTGAGCTGGATGCCAAAGACATTTGTGAAAAAGATCCACAAGAATAGGATAGGAGCAGCCTTGTGTGCAATAATCATTTCAGAAGTGCTTGATGATACACGTGGGTTTCGTCTCAGCAGTCGAGGTGGAAATGGGGAATGTCTTCTCAAAGGAATAGAAAATGCAATGGCAATGATTTCAAGTCATGGTTGATATTACTGGATTTAACCATTTATGTTACCTTTTCCTAATTTTAGACACCTAGCTTTAAATTAACTGCTCTAGGGCTTCCCTGGTGGCGCAGTGGGTAAGAGTCCGCCTGCCAACGCAGGGGACAAGTGTTCGTGCCCCAGTCCGGGAAGATCCCACATGCCGCAGAGCGGCTGGGCCTGTGGGCCATGGCCGCTGAGCCTGCGCGTCTGGAGCCTGTGCTCCGCAATGGGAGAGGCCACAACAGTGAGAGGCCTGCGTACCACAAAAGAAAAAAAAAAAAAATTAACTGCTCTAATAAAAAGGAGCAATTTAATTAGTAATGGGTAATAGGTTCTTTTGATTTTTGCAAGGACTGTGGTGAAGACTCCTGAGTTCCACTTCTCTAAATAACCAACTATTCCTCACTGTCCTGTAAAACCACCGCAGCTGTGGGGGAGAGAAACATTTTAGGAACGGTTCAGAGCAAAGTACCAATTGAAAATCTTCTCACAAGGCAAGCAGCATCCTTCACTCCTTCATCCTTTGACTGAGGCCCTACTGTATGTGACTCCCTGTGCTAGGTATTGGGAATACAGGGTGACTGAGGAATGGGGCCCCAGCCCGGTAAGAGGCCTCTATGTAAGCAGACAAATGCAATGAAATATCGTGTGTGGTACCCAAAGCATATGAAAAGTGATGAGGTTTGGGGGAGTCAGACTGCATCTTAAAGGATGACTAGGAATCTACCAGCCTGAGAAATGATGGAGCAGTGGGCCAGATACACAGGCTCTACTTCCTTTGGCGCTTTGCTTTATGGATTAAAGCTGCCTGAACCATGTAAAGGGACCCACAGTTACCTTCAGAAGGGAACAATGATGTACCTTGTCCTGAGGTCTTTACTTTTGCCTCTAGAGCTAGAAATACATTTTCTCAGATGTCTCTTAGGTGAACCTTCCAGGCAGCTACATCTGGGGCCATTAGTGCTACAACTGGACAAGAAGAAATGAAGGTGTGAACACTGCAACAGCCTTGTTGTGAGCAAGGTGACTTCATCCCCTCCCCCCACCTTAGGTTTGAAATTGAGAAACCCAGAGATGACTACAGCCCTAGGCCACTGCGTGCAAAAATGGGAAATGTCACTCACCAGGTCCTCCCCTGTGTTTAACCAGAATTGTCAGCCCATAGATTCAGGAACTAAATGGCTTGATCATTTTGCACGTAAGCCATATGCATTGGTCCAAAGTAGACCAGTGAGCAACAATTCAATTTAGAGTTCACTGAACCCTCTGGTTTGGGAAGGAAATTGCTGGTAATCAATTGCAGCAAGCACACAGGCTCAGGGCCAGGAAGAGAAAAATCACTTTAATGGGCAAAGCAGATGTTGCTAAACTCATTGCAAAAGTGAGATGGGCGCGGAGCCAGGCCTTGCATGAGAGATGCTGATCTGTCCTTCTGAATGAAGAAAGCAGAGATACTTCAAAACAGGGGTTCTACGAGGAAAGCCAGAGGTCCGTGTCCCCGTTAGATTGATTAAAAGGAAATGCAGAAGTGCTCTGGTGTCCCATACACCATAAGACTTAAAGCTGCTAACATCTCATAAGGATTTTAAGCAAATCCAGAATACTAGCTAAAAACTACCTGAGGAGTCTTCATTCTGTTCTCAGGTGACTATGGAATAATGGAAAGAATTATTCAATCAACTGAATTATTCATTCAATTGATGGGGGAATCATCAATTCGTTGATTCCACCATCAAGAAGTTGTATGACCTTGGGCAAAGTTCTTACTCTTTCAGTCTCAGTTTTCTCAGCTATGAAATGGGATGAATCTGACTTATCACCTGAGACCAGCTGTGAGGATTATTAACATGTCTGTAAAGTACAGTAGAGAAATGCACTTAAGCAATAACCTGTTTTCAGAGCCCTGACAAGACTGGTGCCATTAGGATGTGGGAGAATTAGTTTGTGATGGAACGGGGAGGTGGAGGAGGGTGAATTTCTGGTCCAACAACCTCTAGCTTTGCCACTGCCTCTCAATGATGGATTACTTCACAGACCAAACATTTATTTGTATGTTTCAGTGGATAAACTATCTCTCAAGCATATAAGAGTTCAGAGAGTACAATATCAAGGCCCAAGGAAGGTCACCATGTATACCAAGAATGTTTTCATAAAGTAGCTTCTAATACAAGCCCCCTAAAGAAAGAGTCGATTCTGATTCCCCAAATTTGAAACATTCCTCATTTACCTAATTCCCACTCATTCTTTAAGGGTGAACCAGACCCCTCCTCTGAGAATCATCACAGACTGCTTTAGACCTCACCGTCTCTACCTGTTCAGACATTGCCCCTGTTTTTATCAGCTGATTTAAACCCCTCACAGAACAAGATAGGTTCAATGTCAGACTTATTCATTAAAAGCTTTAAATGCTACTTCTCAGTTCTTTGTCCTGCAGTAGTAAACTGTCTCACATTACTCTTTACCTGAATTGTGCTGATCTCGTCTAAATATTTTGTAACTTCCTGGAGTTCAGATATTGATCATAAACTATTTAAAATCTCCAAACCAGAAGACAGAGAGACTAGAGGCTTCCCTTAAATTGACCAGCTGTGTTTTTTCTTACCTTTTCTAAGTCTTACTTCTCTCATCCGTAAATTGCAGGTAATGACAGTGCCTTTCTCCTAGGATTTGTGTGAGGATTATAGAAACTCAGTCCTACACAGTGCTTAGCACTACCATGTTAGCTGAGTAGAAACTGTCACTCTTTTAGAAGCTTCTTCACCCAGAGGGACTAGCCCATGCCTAAACACCTAGAATATCAACTGCATTCACATCCTCTGAGATTTCTAAGCCTCAGGCCATTTTTATAAAGTAGTCCCCCTTCAGAAAGCTGTGTCCCGCTGAAAATTGGTTTCCAAGTTGCCCTCAGCTTTAGAATGTCCCTGATAAGTAAGCAAAGCTGCTGAGGGACTTTGGCAGTGAATTTCTGGGGGCTGGTGAGAGGAGGATGTTTACCAGAGCGCAAAGGCCAGGTCCTGAGCAGAGAACATTTTGGCCCAGATAGAGCTCAGAGAAGGCATTTTTGCCAAGCACAGACTCCATTCTCAGGTCCTAAAGTCAGCGTCAGAAACTAAACAAACCTTCCCGGGTTCACATTTGTTTACTTTTGGCAAAATGCAACTTCCTGTTTGAAAGGAAAGGGGCAGTAAAGCTTTCTATAGCCTCTCGGACATAAAGCCTCCCCTCGAAACAATTGATCTGTTAAGCATAAATGAATCAAACCCACACAATGGGGATCTCCCTTCCCCTCAAAATATGCACGTTTTAACAGGGAAAGCGCTCAGCAAAACCAAAACAAATATTTTTTCAACTGTTGGCCCATGAGGATTATTTAGGCCGTTTCTTCTTCTAAGAGCAAGAAAAACAGACATCAGGAGAGAGCCAGGCTACATGTGCTGTGTCAGGAAAGTCACTTCGACACACTTGGGGGTTGAGATTTTGGTTACACAGAAAGTCAGAAAGTTTAAGTTCCCACAGCCACTCAAACCACATTCCCCAACATGAAGAGAGATCACTAGCTCTTTCATGATGTGACTACGTCCCCTGTCACACCCTCCAGGGTCCTGAAATTCCCTTGGATCGTCCCATGCCCTGCCCTTGGGTTTGAAGGCCGACTGACAACCCCTCACAAATCTACCACAAGCCTTTTACAAGAACCCTAGATTACTTACTCTGTGTATATGAGGGGTGAGTGGGAGTGTCTGTAATTAATTTTTAGAACATCTAGCAAATTTAGCATCAACCTTGGGTTTATTTATAACCCAAGCACTCTCTATAAATCTTGGATCTTTTTGTCATAAAATATTAAATTTGTAAGGGACCTTAAAAATCATCAGGTTAACACTTCCACACTCATCCATATACAGACACATAAATAATACAGATGAAGAGGGAAGAGGTCTGGAGAAGTTTCCTCCCTGGATTGTAAACTTCTTGTTCCTCAGAGCAAGAACTATTTTATGTACTTGCGTTCTCCATCAGAGTTCTATGACCACAGTAAAGACAGGAAGAAAGTGGTGAATGAACAAGTCCCCGTCTGCAAAGTCAGGGGCAGCACACGGGACTTCTCAGCTCTGTGTGGTCCCCAGAGCCCTACCTCTTGTGTATCCACTAGATTGTAAGCTGCTTGAGGGCTGGGAAGGTAGCTTATTGTTCATTTGGACCATAATATCCTAGGCATTGAACTTTGCAAGCACTTGATAAAAATATTTTGAGTAATGAATTAGTGACTGAGTAGATGAACACAGTTACACGAATGAGATCACTAAGCATCTTTCTTGAGTGATTTCAGTATCCTTCCTGAAAGGGGACATTCTTTCCTCCTTTAGGATGCTGGATATAAGGAGAAGTAGATTTGTACATGTTCCATGCCTCCTTTAAACCCTTTCATTTTGGTTTAGATAATTATAAAAGTGAGAGGCAGTTATGACTGGAGATCTCACCCCCCTACAGTATTGCCAGGTCTCTTCCCACAAACTAAAGCTAACCAAATCCATCATCTACTTAAACTTTTAACGAAAGGTTTGGCCCATGTCTCGGCCCATGACCCCCTTATCTCTGGCTCCCATCTGCCAATCTGTCTTATCTGCAGCCTTCCTACCAAGTGAACTTCTCCAGGTTTGGGGACTTAGTGAGATCTTTCATGACCTCATGCTGGCGGGCGTGCTGAGGTCTCTGTCTAGAATATACTGCACTAACCATGACCACTACCATCACCATAGACACCTCACCACTACTACCAGCACCATTTTCACCACCACCACCATCACCCACCACCATTTCCATTCAAAACCAACCTCCCGGGCTTCCCTGGTGGCGCAGTGGTTGAGAGTCCGCCTGCCGATGCAGGGGACACGGGTTCGTGCCCCGGTCCGGGAAGATCCCACTTGCCGCGGAGCGGCTGGGCCCGTGAGCCATGGCTGTTGAGCCTGCGCGTCCGGAGCATGTGCCCCGCAACGGGAGAGGCCACAACAGTGAGAGGCCTGCGTACCGCAAAAAAAAAACAATCTCCCCACCATCACCATCACTGCCCCTCCCCTACCATTACCATCCAATGACCACTACCTACTCACTACCTTTTTAAGCTTGAAAAAAATGTCTTCTTCCTCTCTTAATAGCCAGCTCAAGTGGAACTTCCTAAATCCCTCCTGAATTTAGTGCCAAGCCCCTCTCTGATCTCCAACCGTCACTTGTTCTCAACTATGTAATTGCCATCAAGCACGTTGCCTTGTAGTTTATTCTTTTGCATGTCATTTCTAAGAGTTCATATCCCCTGCTGGACCCTGAATCCCTGACTCAAAAGAAATATTTAGGGAGGGTCTGAGCACGGATCGCAGAGCAATGAGGGTTAAGAGGAAGGAAATGTATGAGGACTGGTGGCACAAACCGTGGGGTGGGGGCCATCCCCCCAAGCAAAAGCCAGAAGGTTTCAAGAGTGACTGACCTTGCTCCGCAGCAAAACTGTGGTCTGACTGCTCTTATAACCTGCCTCTTCCGTGTTTCTGGGCTTCTCGCTTCCATTCAGATAGTCATTAAACAAAATTACACAGCACCTGTTCCGTACCAAGATGGCAGCCCCGTTGGGGAGATAAATAATCAGACCACTCTCACGCAGGATTAGGATAGGGTGAGGGTGGGATTGTATGGGAAGCGTGTTTGGAGGTCAGGGAAACCTCCAAGAAGAAGTAAGGTTTAGACTGAGGTCTGACATCTGGATAAGGACCAGCCAGGTAAGGGGAGATGAGAAGAGTCCATGATTAGGAAATAGATTTTTTTGGTTTTTGAACGTAAGAAGCTGATTACCACACAGCTCCTTGAACTTTCCATTCCCACAGCCTGGAATGCTCTGCTCCCAGATCTTTACATGGATGGCTTCTCTTCACCTAGGTCTCAGCTCAGATGTCACCTCCACAGAGAAGCCTTCCAAAACCACCCAACCTAAAGGATCCCCGTTTCCAAACACTCCCTAGCACAGTGCTTTTCAAACATTAACATGCATAGGAATCCTGGAAGGAGTGGGACGTGGGATCTTGTTAAAATACAGATTCGGATACGGTAGGTCTGGGGTGCCTTCTGAGATTCTGCATTTTAACAAGCTCAGAGATCATACTGGGTAGCTCTAGCTCCAGCATATCAATGTCTGATTTTTTTCATAGCTCTTATCACTATATGAATTTATCTTGTTAAGTGTTTCTATTTATTGTTCTCTCATACACACAAACCACCCCCACCGGAATATGAGTTTCATGAATTTAGGTATATTTTTTGTCTTTTGTACTACCATATCCCCAGGATTTGGCATATAGTAATTGCATATCAAATATGAATGAATGAATGACCGGGAATGTGGCCTTCTAGCTCAGGGCTACAGCTCTCCCACATACTAGGCTTCTATAGCAGGACATCAGTACTTCATGCCAAAGGCCACTGTAGGAAATCTCGAGAATCGACCAATGCCACAACTGTGGGTCAGCGTGTAGCCAGGGTTTCACGGTTCCCTCCTCTTTATTTCACCCCAGCTTCCACCATGAGCTCATTCCAGTTTTAAGAACATGCTGTCCTTTCCTGCTCAGCTTCTGATATAAGCCTTTGGGTTTCTAGTCAAAGCTACCCTCCCCATCTGAACCCTGCTTCAGTGGAATTCTTGGATTCTGCACAGTCTTTGCTTTAATCGGTCTGGCTTTTCCAAGGTGTTTCCTTGACCGACAACCAACCTGTGCTCTGAAATTACTCTTAAAAAGGCTTCCTTCTGGTCAGATAATGAATCTCATTCTGCTGCTCAATGAGCCTTTCTACGTGGGATAGAGCAAAGTTTCCAATTTTTCATTTTTTCAAACTAGATTCCTTTTTCTAAACACCCTCTTTTTTCTCCCTGACCCCAGTGGGCACAGATCAACACTGCCAAGCGTTTTGGAGCATCCCCTCAAAGTCAAGTGCCAGGCCTGGTTTGGGGAATTCCGGAGGCAGACATGACTCCAGTCCTTGGAGGATAGATCTTATGACAGAGGGAAAGCAGCCTACACACAGAAAGAGAAACAACATCCCAATGCAAGATATATAAAGTGCCAAATGGGTGATACAGGACACCACTGTGCCGTGCAGAAGAGAGATGGGCCCAGGAAGCCCACTTTGTTGACAATGCTTTGCCCTCCTTGTTCTTCCCACTGGCTATTCCTTCTCAGTCTTTTTTACAGCAAGTGTTCCCTTCCTTGGCTCTAAATGTTGACATGCTCTGGGTTTAGCAATGGGTCTTTTTCCCTTCCATCTTTATACTTTCCTGCTCTGGGAAATCTCAGCCATTTACATGACTTTAAATATTACCTCTATGCTGACAACTGCCAGATTTCTATCTCTATCCCCAGACCCTTCTCTGAACAACAGGTTTGTATAATCAACTATTTGGTTCACAGCACCACGTCGACGTTTTACAGACATCTCAAGCTTTACATATCCAAACTGAAGTCTTGGATTCCATCTCCCTGTCACTCTCTCTCTCTCTCTCTCCCTCTCTCTCTCTCACACGCACACACACACACTCACACACACACACTCTCACACACACACACACACACACACACACACACACACATACTGATAAACACCACCTCCATTTAAATTCTGTTCTTCACCCAGTTTTCCATTTAAATAGCTGTTCAGGGAAACAAAAAAACAGATTAAAATCTTCTTTGATTCTCCTCTCTTGCTTCCCCTACATCCAAACTGAATCAGTTAGAAATTTAGGAATTTATAAAAATTTAGTAATGTATAAATAATATTTAACTTGCAATGATTTAACCAAATAGGAATTTGATTATATTTTTCAGAAAAAAGTCCAAAAATTGGCAGTCCAGGGTGTGATGGCAGCTCTGAACGTCATCAGAAATCGGGCTCCTCTCTTCCTGTTTCTTTCGTGGGTAACTTCATCCTCATCTTGTTGCCTGGCCCCCACCCCGCCTCCCCCCCCACACACATCCCACCCCCACACACACACCCCTCCCCGTCCTCCAAGATTACGGCTCCACCTCAGAATCTGCCATCCGTGCAGCAGGAAGAGGGAGGGCAAAGGGAAAATGTCATTCGGCGATTGAATTCATTTCCTTTTAAAGAGCTTTCCCAGACTCCCTGCCCAGAAATTTCTTCTTGCATCTTTTTGACTAGAACTATATCACATGGCCACCCTCAGCTGCAAGAGAAGCTGGCAAATATAGATTTATTTTTTATGTTAGGCCCATTGTCACCCCAAACAACATTTACATTATAAATGTTATATAGTTTATATTATATAGCATTATATTAGTAAGGAAGAAGGGGAGAATGGATTGGGAAATCAATCTGAAGCGTCCGCCACAAAATCCATCAGCAAGCTATTATTCCTACCTCTAAAATATATCATAAATTCACCCTTTTCTATCTACACTGTGCCAGCATCATGATCCCTCCTACCAAGTTACTGCAATAGCTCTTTAAGTTAATTTGATTCTCCATCTGCTGACCTCTACTTCTTTTTCCACTCAAGTCAGAGTAAGCCTTTAAAAGCATATATTGTATCATATAATTCTTGTGTTAAAGTAGCTGTTACTTGCTACTTCAAGTAGAATAAAATCCAAGTACCTATCTTATCCCACTGGCCCTATATTATTTCATCCTTGCCTACCTCTCTAGTTTCCTTTTGTTGTCCTCTATTCATCCACTCAAACATATTTTTTGAGTGCCAACTACATATAAGCACTGTTTTAAGCACTAGGGATAAAGAAGTGAACAAATCAGACAAAAACACCTTCCTTCATGAAGTTTACACTCTAGGGGAGGAAGACATAATAAACAAAATATGAAAGTAAGATCGTATGTTGGGTGGTCCTGGGTCATTCACTCTGCTCCAGCCTCACTAGGCTTCCTTAAGTTATTCCAACTCTTTTAACTGAGGGTCTCCTCTGCCTAAGATGCTCTTCCTTTACCATTCCCAAACCTTCTACATTATCCTTTGGGTATCAGCTTAAAGGTAGCTTCTCCAAAGAGGCTTTCTGACCACTCATTCTAAAATAGGACCGTCTTGGTATTCTCTTTCAAAGCGCCTATCACCTTTTGAAATCAGATGGTTGGATGGATGGATGGATGGATGGATGGGTAGATAGATAGGTGTGTGAGTTCATATGTTTAATTGTTCAATATCTGTCTGCCACTGACGATTAATTTTTGTAATTGCAGAGATCATGTCTACTTTGTTCGCCATCCTAGCCCCAGGGCCTAGAAGAGTCAGTTCCTAGTATATGGAGGCACTTAATAAATATTTGTTGTTGGATGAATAAATCAGTGAATGAGTGAAGTGGATGTGATATTTTTAAGCCTTTGAAAGGCAATAGCAGTACCTTGATAAGCAGAGACAGAGGAAAAAGGTTTTTGTAGACAGAGGGAATTATGTGCACAAAAACAAAGAGGCAGGAATGGCTTGGTCTGTTTTGCTGGGCAATTAGCCATTTGGGGCTAGAATTAAGGGGCATGATGTTAGAGGGATGGATTGGAGACAGATGAAGGAAGGTCTCTAATGCTTGGCCTTATTTGGGGCAGCATTAAAAATAAACAAATAGAAAGCAAGCTCACCTTCACAGAATAGCGCCATATCTCTTTGGGACAACCACCCCCGACCCCGACCCAATCCAAAGTCATTGCAGTAAGTCACTCAGAGAAAACAAAAGACAAGAGAAGTCCACAAACTTGGGATTACTCGCTGGTTGGCATACAAATCACCTCTTTCCTGTTAACCAACTTTACATTTTAGAATTTTTTCTTTTTGATTATAAAAGTAATACATATTTATTATAGAAGATTTGGAAAGCACAGAAAAATATAAAACAGAAATGAAGTATCACTACTCTGAACATTAACGTAGGCTTTCACTGACAAAGAAGTTGCTGGGAAACTTCGTCATGGCCCTGCAGAGTATACTGGGGGGCGGGGGGCCAGTGGTTGTGGAGAACATGGGGGCAACACCAGTGACTAAGCAGCTGGGACAACCACAGGAGGAATTACTAACTTTGGATTCAGTGAGTCTTTGGTGTCTGGCATTGAAAAATCGTGTTACTCCTTTACCCTCGGTTTCCTCATCAGTCAAAGAAGGAGTTTTCTGATCAGTGGTTTTCAAAGTGTGTCCCTTGGAGCTTTGTGGAGCCCTTTATAAAAGGTGAGGGCAAAGGCTTGACCTCCTCACCTCTCCTCCCGGCAGCAGAGATCCACAAGTACCTGTTTTTCATATTGGCTTTTGGCCTAAGTTTTATATATTGGATTTTTGTTGTTCTTGTTTATTTTGTTTTACTTTTAACAACAGATAGGGGGACTAACACAGGATTGCAATTCACCTTTCCAGATACTCAATAAAGTTACTTTGAGCTCTAACTTTTTTGTTTGTTTGTTTTTTTTTTTTTTCGAGCTCTAACTTTTCATGATGATTCTAATTCCCTTCTGGTAGAAATCAATATAGACATGAACTGGGTGCAACTGAAAACTCCTTTTGCTATGGGCCTAAAGGAACTTCCTAAAGATTCTAAAAGTATCAAGGTGTTCTAATAGAATAGCATATATCAGCTCAGCTACAGCAGTATATGAATTTGGACAAGGTATTTAACCTCCCCATGTGTCAATTTTCTTATCTGTAAGGTGGGGATCATGTCACCTACCTATTGAACTGGATACAGGGAAAATGAAATTACAGCACATACACAGAAATGCCTAGCACACACCAAGAAATACAGCAGTAGCTTACATTTCCTGACTTCTTTCTATATGCCAGGACCCATGCTACATATCAAATATACAGTCTGTCATTCAATCTGCACACAAGCCTATGAGATAGGCACTTTTTGTATTACCATCTATTATTGTTCCCATAATAGAAACTGAGACGTAATGAGGTTAAGTAATGTTTTAATCAATTTTGCACAGAGCTTGGATTTGAACCTAGGTAGTGAGATTCAGGAGGCTGTGCTATAAAATGAATCATGGTCACAACAACAATATTAACCACAGCTCACATGTTTTGAGTGCTTGCTTGATGGTAGACACTGTTATGAAAGCTTTGGCTCATTTAATCCTTATGTCAATCCAATGAAGCAAGCCCTGCTTTTACAGATTGGGAAACTGAGATGCAGAGACGCTAAGTGCTATCATCTCTCTGCTGACTTTTTAAAGTTGATTGCTTAGAACTGGCTTCAATTCCTCAGGTAGTTTCTCTACTGGACATTAGAAGCATATACGATTGTCTAATTGATCCTTCTGAAAGCATGGGAAAAGAATTACCCTCTAGAATGAAAACTCCCAGCGGAGGGAGTGCATTCACTCAGGATTTACCACAGTGAAGGGTAATCGTCCAAGACTCCTTTCCCTCCCACTCTCCATTTCCATTCAATTACAGGTCCTGCAATCTCACCTTCTGAATATGTCTTTAATTCCTCCCTTCCTTTCCATCCTACCTTGACCACTTTAGTCTGGGCCATTTTGTCTCTTCCTCCCACCTAATTTCCCTGCTCCAGTCCTGACCTCTGCCCTACTCCTCTTAAACCCACCCTCCACCCTGCAATTTCTCCATTAAATGACCTACAGAATAGAGTCCATGCCTTCACATTGGTCCCCAGCCTCATTTCCTAGCTTAAAATATATATTCTAACATCAAAAAATCACTCATGGCGGGGAGGGACTGGGTGTTTGGGATTAGCAGATGCAAACTAGTATACATAGGATGGATAAGCAACAAGTTCCTATCGTATAGCACAGGGAGCTATATTCAATATCTTGTCATAAACCATAATGGAAAAGAATATGAAAAAGAATGTATATATATGTATAACTGAATTACTTTGCTATACAATAGAAATTAACACAACTTTGTAAATCAACTATACTCAATAAAATAATTTTTAAAGAAAACACTCATATTGTCATTTCCCACCTCCATGTCCTTTTACTTCTCTGTGTGGAACTTCTTTCCCATTTTTCTGCGTGTAGCTAACTCTTGCTCTTCCTTTTTTTTTTTTTGCGGTACGCGGATTTTTCACTGTTGTGGCCTCGCGTTGCGGAGCACAGGCTCCGGACGCACAGGCTCAGCGGCCATGGCTCACGGGCCAAGCCGCTCCGCGGCATATGGGATCTTCCCGGACCAGGGCACGAACCCGTGTCCCCTGCATCAGGAGGCGGACTCTCAACCCCTGCGCCACCAGGGAAGACCTGCTTTTCGTTTCTTGTACAGCCAGGTTAACCATGCTCCTCTCTGCCAGGCTCCTCATGAACCCTGCATTCTCAGCACGTGACGCTGCAGGTATGTTTATAGTCTGTCTACCCCACCACACCATCCATTTCCTGAGGGCAGCCACAGCGGTGTTTTATTCTTCTCTGTGTCCATGACCCTCAGTACAGTGTGTGCATATGGTAAACACTCGATAAATATTTGTCTAAAAATCAAACCAAGGCAGGGAATGAGAGATTGTAATGTGCAGTGTGTAAACTTGTTAGTTATAAGTAATATCCAGGGAACGCTCCCAAGTTTGAATAATTCTATTAAGCACCTAACATGAGCCATTTGCTCTTTCTTTGTTTTGTTTTGTTTTTTATTTGACAGAGGTTTTTAAAATTTTATTTTATTGAAGTATGTTTGATTTACAATGTTGTGTTAATTTCTGCTGTACAGCAAAGTGATTCAGTTATACACACACACACATATTTTTTAAAATTCTTTTCCATTATGGTTTATCACAGGGTATTGAATATAGTTACCTGTGCTGTACAATAGGGCCCTGTTGTTTATCCATCCTACATATAATAGTTTGCATCTGCTCATCCCAAGCTCCCAATCCACCCCCCACCTCCCTCCCTCTTGGCAACCACAAGTCTATGAAGCATTTGCTCTCCAAAGCACTCTACCTTATTTCCTTTTCGAGATAGTCCTATGAGTTAGGTGCTGTTACTGCCCCCACTTTATAGATGCAAGAGCTGAGAGAAATTAAGCCACTTCCTAGGGTCACAGACCTAGTAAGTAGTAAGAATGTGGTTTGAATCTGATTCCAGGGTCAATTCTCAACCAATAATGACAAGTTTATAATGCCAACTGAAAAACATCTATCATAAACCCAAGGCAAGAGCTGACGGTGCTGCAGACAGGAGACCAAAATAAGGGTGTAATATCTGTCTTAGAAAGAGAACCAAGAGAGATTTATAATCAGCATAAACTGTCAGGGCACAGCTGGTGTCAAGAAGAGGGTCACCCAGCTCACACATCTACATGTTGCTCTGATCATTGAAAATGAGTTGATGCTATGGCCATATCCATTTAAGCCACTGTTTAGCAGTCAAAAGGAAAGGGCTTGGAGTCAAACGGCCCAAGGTTTCAACCTCAATTCCATTGATTTTTAGCAGGAAAAGAATGATCCTCTCCAAGCCGCTATCCTCATCTGTGAACTAGGGATATTGATACTTAACTGGTTTTGAGGTTTAAAGGAAATAATGTTAAGTATCTAGTGATGTGCCTGACACAGAGAAGGCACTCAAAATAGCTACTATTATTACTGTGAACTTTACTATTATCATGCAAGCACCAAATCAGAAATCATTCCAGGAAGGGGGAGGTCATACAATGTACATGGGTGCTGGGAATCCATCCCTCCCTCTGGGGGTGGCAGTCCATCAGGATCTGGGAAGACATCCTAAGAGCTGTCTATAGCCAGAGACTACTGATTGCACGCTCTTCGAGCGGTGGGAACAGCTCAGCAGTGTTCATGATGTAGCCTGAGAAAAAGGCCCTGGAAGCTTCTAGTGTCGCATTTCTTTTGATTTCATTTTAAAAGCTAATGGATCAGAAATGTAAGGATGGGTCAGAAAATGAGGTCTTTTGGGATTCTCCATCTCTTCCAGAATCTGGTCAGAACATCGTTGAAGAATAATGTTCCATCTAGCCCTTGAGAAAGGTGATGTTTGCATTCCCTGAGGTCTCATCACTGGTATTGATTTGATCAACTGCTGATAAACTGGGTCTTTTCAAAGACATTTTTTGCTAACAAGGCATTGCAGGTGGTGAATTGGGGTGCTGTTTAAAAGCCTTATTCATGAACGACCACTCAAGAGTCTCTTTTAACGATCTTGACTAGACCAGGATTGGAATAATTTAAAGAACTGATAAGAAAAGGCTGAAGGAGATTGCCCAGCCATCAACCTCTGGGGGTGCTGAGAAGGCATCCCACCACCTACAGCTCCCTCATCCACATCCTACTCAGAGGGTCCTTCTACTCCTCCCTACTTCTCATTCACCCCACTCCGCCTCTCCTGCTGCCCACGTCCAGAACACCATGCTGTGTGAATGAATATAGGCCAGGACAGTAGAAAACTATGTCCCGAAGGGTGACTAAACTCATCTCACTCCCTGCTTTACTGTATTTTTTATGAGAAAATTCCTTTTGATCCATTCAGGAATGCAACATTTGTGTATGTCAAGGAGGATTTGTACACTTCCTTGACTCAACTGTAATAATTTTAAAAAGCTAATATTTCTGGAGGGTTTACTGTGTTCCAGGATCTGTCTTGAGAGCTCTTAACATATTTTATATAATCCTCAGAATAACCTCATGAGGTAGGTACAATTATTATCCCCATTTTATAACCAAGGAAACAGAACCTGAGAGATAATAGGTAACTCATTCAGTCACACAGCTAGTAAAAGAAGAAGGTGTTTTTTAAACTTAGATATGCTAAAGTCTACACTAATACTCTTAACCTAGAACCTTCTACTATACTCCAGTGCAAACTGTTTACTGACTGCCCCATAACAAACTACTCAGGGGGCTCTGACATCAGATTCTGTGACCATATCTGAGAGTCCTATATCTTTTTAAGATAAATTCAGAAAGACAAACTCTTCCCAGGTGGCCCTTTCTCTTATAAAACCTGTACCAACAGCCTAAAATATGCAAGAAGAGCATGGGCAGAAGACCCCAGTGGTCTGCCCTGGGCGCCGGGGCATGCGTTGCTCTCTAATTGGCCTCAAGGCTGCCCAGACTTTGATCTCTTCAGCCCGTCCCCTGCTGGTGCCTTCATAACAATGCTTAAGTCCGATACTGCCCCAGGAAGTCCTATAACGGGTCAAGATGAAGAGTTAGCAGACGTAAGATCCTTTCCCAGCACCATTTTTTGGACTTGGTTTGAGGGCTTCAGCCTGAGCATAGCAACGACACTGGAGAAATGTACAGAGCCGAGACAGACCGCAGGGCTCTGAACCATAACCAGCCCTGCCTGTCTCCTCGCCGCGGGCACCTAGACCTCTGGATGATGAATGGAAGTGCTGGCAAGATGTGTTCTCAGTAACCGCATGTGCTCTTTCCC